ATTCTATAGAGAAAAAACATTTTCAGTTTTACCAATTTTCCGGTAAAATGTTGCCAATTGTATCACTTTTTGACCAAATCTAAATATAACCTAGTTTGTGCAACAGAATTGCTATACTTATCTTATTTTTTCTTTATTTCCTAAACCCGATCCGCTTGATATATCTGTACTAATAATATAAAGATGTGGTTTCTAACTTTGTATAGTAAAACGATCATGAAAATTCTTTCAGCTATGGGAAGCTGCATCTTACACGAAAACAGATAAAATGAAAACGTCTAATAGATTTTATACATATACTGATGTATTTTTATAAAGTTATTGCTCTCAGAGGATTCAGACGACACATTTGTCAATAGTTCGATAACGGACGCAATAGCGGAAGGACGTCTGTTATATTATGTATTTGTATTTAACTTGTATGGTAAGTTCTCACGCTGAGAAACTTCTCGGAATTTGTTTGACTGGAAACAACGAACTCTCATTGCTTCTTTGAGATCGTTACAAAATATCAAAGTAAATATTATTAATTAACCGTATCATGCAAGAATTTCAAATTATGAACAACAAGATATTAATTTTTCACAGTGTGTAAATTTTAGATGTTTCGCAACCATTTTGAAAGTATTCAATTGATGACAATTGAATCAACGAGGAATATATACCTATACCAGGGATTTTATTCATAAAAAAAACAATTTTTCTCTGTATCCTACTCTATAATATTTAAAATACGTAAGTGAAAGAAGAATAAACGATAAAACAGTTTATTGTCGATTTTTGGCTTAACAGGGCTTGTTTATATGAAACTCGTGCAAACTCGCATTTGGCTCTTAATATTTGGGCAATACCTCATAGTAGCAATAAGTACCATTATTAAAAATTGTTTATTTTTAATCATCCATAATTTTCTATAAAATTTATGCTACAACGCAATAGTTTATATAGCTCTTTGTACAAGGCTTAAGCAAAAAGTAAACCGCCTAGTTCTTTTATAAATAAAATATCTTCTTTATGTTTCTTGGCTTTATAATCAATATATTTCACGACAGTTACCACTGAAAATTATCGGATGCTATGAACTCGATGTAACAATAGAATAATCTGAGATTATTCTCTCCAAATAGATTCAGTTGATAAGATAACAACTGGAACAACAACTATAATGACTTACATAAAAATGAGTGGATGTTATAAGTGGAGTTAATATCAACGCATTCAGATTAAATTAAATTGTGCATCTAATTATGTGATTAATAGGGTTTAAATATGATTTACAATATCCTAAATTAGATTACACATAAATATATGACCACATTACATACTCAGATCCCAAATAAAGTAGCTAAAGCACTTGTGTACGAACGAAGGTACCATATCACCCGCACTCGAGACAATATAGAAAGCTTTTTTTTCTTTATTGACCCGACCGAATTGAAACCTAAATAGCTCAGAGATAGCGACACCTTGAAACCGTGTTGCGAGCCACGTGGTCGTCAAAATCTTAACTAAATATAAAAGAATAAAAATAGATTTTTTTTAACATCAAAAATTTTATTTCAAAAACAGAAATTGTTGTGACTTTGTGATGCGAAGGCATGCATTGTCTAGCTATCAAATAAAACTCATATAAAATGATTATAATACAAAAACTATTTTCATATTCATTGGAGTAAAGTTGAAAGAGTTTCAGTAGAGGTTTTTCGAAGAAATGCAATATGGTGTGACGAAAATTTCCTAAAATGTCAATATAATTCAAAACTGTGAGTGACTGAGTGGGGCAGGGCGGCCGATGAAAATTCAATGACGCTTGCCTTACGTAAGGCGGGCACGAGCAACTAGTCAGAAAGTACATACTACACGTACGAATTAACATGACACTTCAAAGCCTATTCTATTTTCCCGAAATCAAAATTTAGTTTATTTTCGAATGCTAATACAATTCTAAAGAATCACATTTTTCGATAATTTATGATGCAACGGAGTTAGAACCTGACATTGCTTCAGATGCATAGATAAACTTCACGAATAAGTTTTTAACAAAATAGTAAGAACTATATGGAATATTACAAATTTTCGTTCGAGGACAGTACTATTTTAGCTGGAATTGTATCGAATGTCACTCAGTAGAATAGAAAAACCATTAAAAACTGTAGTTTCGTTCGGTTTCGATCCGTTTTCGATTCGATTTAAATAAAATTTATTTAGTATAATTAGCCACCAGGACCATGGACACCTGTCATGTACTAACTCTATGTAAAAAATAACTAAGTCAGTAATTTTAATAGTTAATAATTCATATTACAAGAAAATGATTGATCAATTATTATTTTCATATCGCCTTGTTAATTTGATTGTCAATTTAATATTGAAATAAAGTAGGCTAACCGCTGGTATTTGAATGAAATTCGGAATATGGATATAACGAATCCTATTAGGATTACGCGAACTGTCCTAGAATATATCTAGACGTATGCAAATGCATGCAATGAATAAAATATGAATCATAATAATATACCTCGATAAAAACGTTAAAACTAATCTGGATTTTATTTAGCCAGCGAATTATTAATTTAGATTTGCTTTATATGTCTTTAATACATTACGGCCCTACTTGGTAACTGTCCAAGAAACTTGAAGCCATGCGTTTTTTTTTATAATATAAAGTATTTACGAGAACACTTGTCTGCAAAATGAAAGAATTACTTATAGTAATTTTTTTCGCATAAAATTACTGCCGGTTTTGCAGAATTTACTCCATATAATTATCTCAAAGAAGATATCAAAGATTTCCGATGTGTTAAATTTTTCACCATAAAAAGTACTGGAAAATGCAAATTGAATTTAATATAAACTTAACAAATGAGTTTTACTTCATAAATATACAGATTCAAATCGTATATCCATATATTTGTTTCGAAATTTATTATTTATCAGCAGATTTTTTCAAGATATCTTATAATCGCTTGATTCTAGTTAGACTACAAAAAAGAACATATTCGATCAAGTAAATAGATAAGAAAGAAAGAATAGATAAGGCTAACCTATAATGAAGTTCTTCTTATTTTTGTTTTACATTTATAATTGAAAAACTTAATCCAAGCTACTCTTTATAAATAACATTATCTTTTATAAGATGTTCATTTATAATAATTTTCAAAATTACTTATCCGATTTTTCATACTATTTGTGACTAGATTTAGTTAAAGAAATACAATCATATTACTCGGTGAAATAACGTTTGCAATGTAATAAGGTATTAGTATAAGAGATATTAGTACAAGTATACAACTAATAAGGGGAACAGATATCTATTAAAAAAGTTAACAAAAGAATCCGCAAAAAATCTTCATTTTCAGAAATTACCATTTTTGTCACACTATTTTAATATAACTTCTACAAAGTTTAGCAGTAATTAGTACATATTTATATACGGTGTAAATGCAAGTCATACAGGAGTGGCTCGGTAGAGTAGTGGATTAGCGCCGCGGCCCGCGATCGTAGTCGTTAAGCAACTTTCGCAAGGGTCGGTCACGGGATGGGTGACCAAAAAATTATTATCTCGAATTACTCCGTAATTCGGAAGGCACGTTAAGCCGTTGGTCCCGGCTGCATTTACAGTCGTTAATACCCTCTAAGCCGCATTGGGCCAGCGTGGAGGGTCATGGCCCACCCTCCTGAGCCATCCATAAGGAATGCCTGAGCCCCTGCAGTGGGGACGTAAAAGGGCTGATGATGATAGGAATAATGCTTAAAATATTTATAATATATCTGTTGACACCTTAGATAAAAATAAATTATTAAAATTGTAAATTTGAAGGACTACCTTTCATTAATTTAGATAAGGTTTTTTCTTATATATTATCTAAATTAATGAAAGGCATAAATATTTAGGCATTATTCCTATATAACTTGCATCTACTCCGAATATAAATGTGTATTAACTACTGCAAAACTTTTTTAGTAGTTAAATTAAAATAGTATGACAAAAATGGTAATTTCTTGAAAATTTCACATTTACTTCCAAATAATACTTCGGTTAGTGATATATAAAATAACATTAATAACAACTAATGAAAATGAAATTTGACCTCAATTTTTGCTGCAGCTCCTCAGCGCGTTGAAGTCTTTTTAAAGTAATTATTGACCTTTAAGCGTTCGATGTAAAATGTTGACTTTTTGTAACTTATAATGAATTGTGGTAACTTATAATATGAAATATTATTTCTAACAATATAATTTGTCACTTTTAACAAAAATAAGATGCTATATACGTTCATAAAACTCATAATCAAAAATTATGATTTTAATGCAAAAAAAAGGCAAAATTAAGAAAACTTTGTATTTTTTACTAAGAAATTAAAGCTTTATAAAATATAAATTTTAGGTAAATGTAAAAATTATGTTCGTCCTCCATATAACCTCGACTGGCAGGTGCTCGTTGCACGAGTGCAATCGTAATCTTACTTCCTCTAACCATAGTGGTATGATTATGATCAATATTTACGCAGATGTGTCACTAAGTCGCCATTTCATTATGTAATATTAGCGATTATTTAAACTAGTATATGCCGCAAGGACGAACTAAGGCCTCCTCAATAGTGCCGGCTCGTGACAACCCCGGCGAGTGGTGCACTGCTATATTCTTATATCACCCTAGATAAAAACTTAACATCTACACCATTAAGATTTCCTCTAGTTTACCTATACATACTAAACGGCTTACATACGACTCTAGAAAACTAATCAAATGTCACACACCGTGTATAATATACAAAAACTTGGAGACACGCTTCAAACATCGATTATAATAATACGATTAAAACAAATTTGAAACCTACTTGCAGGTTATATACGTAAACTACAAGGGATGAACGTGGGCACTACGACTAGCGTAACTTTTCACGAAATACACGTGAAATTCGTCAAGAGAAAACAGCTGATCGTAGGTTTGGTACGCGAATATGACGCCGGTTAAGACGACGTTGCACGGTACTTACCGGCTGTGATCGTCAGCCACCACCAGCAGCAGCAGGCGGCCACGAGCGCCCGAGCGCCGGCCATCTCAGCGGCGCATGACACGCGCGCGCTCTCGCCGGCCGCCCCGGCGGACTGATGAGCCGCCCCGCTCGGGCGCGCGATCGATGCGACCTCGCGCCTCTCGGGCACGCACCCTCCGGCACCCTACCCCGCGCCCCCTCCCCCGCCCTGCCACTGTTTTCCGAGTTTCCTTGGAGAGCGCGCGCGCTGCCGCGCTGTCCTCTTTTCCAGCGGATCGCTGACCGGCCCTAATTGATTGGTACCCGTTCATATGCCGAACAAGTTTTAGGTCAGTATCGTCGCAGACACTTTGACTCCTGAACCTGACATCATGGAGCTTCTATGAGTCGCGGAATACGATACCATACCTTGCTATCTACAAACTGCTACGCCAATGCCATAAAAACAAAAACTGAATTAATTGTTTAAAATAAAATATATTTTTTATAAGGACAGTGCTTTGAATATTTTGAATACTAAATAGATTTTTTTGACAGTTAGCTGAGTAAATCAGCCGTGTTATTCTGTAGTATGGAAATGAATGGAGCTCGACATAGAGCACAGCGCTGTCACAGCATAGAGGTTCAATCAAATAAAACTTCAAAAGGTAATAAAGGTTCTATTTTACTGAACCAATTGACAGCACTATATTCGACGTCTAAGTCGAGGCCGATTTTATTACAAAATAGCACTGCTAAATAGTATAGCATTACTGATTACTGAAACAGTGTGTCACTTTCAACAAAAACCAAAAGACTTGTCTTCCATATTTTGATAAAACGGCGAAGGTTAATAATGTCTCGTCTAGACAGTGGTAATTATTGAAGGCACTTATATGAGTGATATAAATAGTGATAAAATCCCATCGTATACAAAATCACATCGTATTACGAATTTCTTCTATGCAGTTCCAGACACAATATGAAGGCACAGTAGCAAATATCTACTTTGATAAAGGACACGTATATTAAAGGTGTTGGTTATTACCAGCTGCACAATTTTTTTTTAGTTAAAATATCATTACAGTTTATAGTTTACTTGTATCATGCAAAACACTAAGGTTCGTAACATAAGCCGGAATTGATGTGCATTTACATAAACTAAAATAACTATATGATATTACATAGCTAAGCACATATTTTAATACACTTACTAATTAAAATTTATTTTAATTACTTCAACCACATATGTATATAAATTAAATAAAATTTTAAGACATTTTTGGTAACTGAGCAAACACTTGACTAGCATACTATTATAAGAAAGATTTTTTTTTTATATTTGATCAATTTTTCATTCACAATGCTGTACTGAAAATTTTTTTTAAGAAAAATGTTTAAAAAATCCACTTCGTCCCTGGTACTCTGAGATGGGACTCGAACCCATGACCTTTCGCAATCCGGGCGACTGCTCTTACCACTGGCATAAAGGTTCTATCCACTGGCATATAGCTACCCAGGACCTACTCACGAACAGGAATCACGAATTGTTAATTTTTCGCTACTATAGAGCGTATTTACCGTGTTCAGGCAATCCACCCAAAAGCCGAAAGAAATATTTTTATAAATGTTTAAACTTTCGATAAAGATGAAAATTTGTTCTACTTATTATTATTTGATTAATTTTGCATTCAGATTTCTATACTGAAAAATATTATTAATTAAAAAATACTTAAAAAATATACTTCGTCCCTGGCACTCTGAGATGGGACTCGAATCCATGGTCTTTATTTATTTCGAATTTAATGTTTTTTTTCATTAGTTTATCTTCAAGATCGCACAAAAGTTTATTTATCAAGCGAGGTAGAATAAAGACAACAGTCCTCTTACTGTACACGTTCGAGGTTCGGCTTTTTCGATAATTATTGCTGTTCATCAAGCAAGTTTAGTAAAGCTTTAGACTGATCGTGTAACTCACACAACCCTCTACAATGTAAAGTCTACATTAACTATATACCTGCATTCCTTAAAAAAATTTATAATCCAAAATGTCTTATGGGAGAAATTGAAAACTATATGAATAGCTATTGACAATAAAAAATTACATACGATTTAATAGTCTTAAATCACAATCAAATCATTAATTGCTGCGTTGGAGCCATGCAGTTTTAGTATGCTATGAAGGAAATTGGAAAGCAACTGGAGATGAATAGTAGAAGGAACCATAAAAATAAAACAAAACTGTTTGATTTTATGAAATCATGAAACTATTTATTTCTATACAATCTAGAATTAAGGCAAATATGAACTAACATAACATATGTTACTTCAGAAGAATTCACAAAAATAATTCCAGAGCTTTAAAACACTTAACCAACAAAATAAAATTAATTAACACGAAGTTATACATTATTTTTTTTTAAATTCACCAGTTCTAAATTGTCCAAGATTGTATCATCAGGCATTGGTAAAGTTAATAGTCTAAGAGGGCGGGACCAAAATGCTTAAGAGCTTTCTTAAGCTTGATTTTTCAGTATGTCGAAGTATTAGGGGTATACGTGGAGGTCAGACGCTTGCACACCTGGTAAAGGCGGTCCAATGTAGAGTAAAAAAATCGTAACACGTAATATAGTTATGTTATATTATAATAGAGAAGTAGCGATAATAAATATAGCAGGATCTGTTGTTTTATTTTAAAGTACGAGTCGATTTATAAAATAAAATGAAACCGTTTGTTACGAAAAAACATTAAGTACACACCACTTTGATTTTAAAATATGGAACAAAATTTTAAAAAAATGACCTAGTTACTCCAGACAAAAACACAGGGAAAGAAGCACATTCAACAGCACAGCTGTCTATACATACCTGTTCATTTTTTCCATTTAATTTTAAACCATAGTCATTGTAGGTAGAAAACAAAAATATTTTGCATTCATTAAAAATTCGAAAGGGGGATTTTCTATGTTCAACGAGTATATATCACAGATAAAAGATAGTAAATCTATGGTATGTAATGTTATGAAAGTAGATATAGTTCACTTCAATAGCATTTTCTTGAATAGGTCGCTTTTGAGATAAGTATAATTTTTCACTTTTTAAAGTTTGAAGAAGGTTCTAATTTTAGAAAAAAGTTTTTTATAATATAAGCATGAAAATTTTTCATATTCGACTGTAATTTTTGATGTGTTGCGATATGCATATAAACATGAAAACCAATGAAAAAAAGTATTTTTAGAAAAAAGAAAGCACTATAAAAGCACCTCACTAGATGACGACTCTACAAAAAGTAGATTTTTGTAGGAAACAAGTGGACCAAAGGTAGTAATATCCGTCACTTTTAACATATTAAAAAACAGAAATTTGCAATGTTCGAAACTTAGATATCAATACAAATACGAAAAAGTACAAAAAGAATATGAGTTGTTTATTGAATTTTGAAAACTTGAGAATGAAAGTAAACCGGAAGAGTTGTCATAAAGAAATTAAGAAAGTACCGTAGCGACATCTAGTTTGATTTCGGGAACTAATGATTTTTTAATATCACCTCATTTTAAAAAATCGTAATTTATTTTAACAAACTAGTTACGTTATGATAAATAAAATATTTTGGATAAAAATTTCAGTATTTCGATAAAATAAAAAAAAACATAACGTATGAGTAAAAATTCGAGTAGGTAATTATTGAGTACCGTCGTAGCAGCAAAGCAGAAGAAGCGGAACGCAACATCAACGACGTTTGCGGCACAAATGCTACAAAAGACATCTTCACCTGACAGCTTTGGTCGACAATGACAAATAAAAACAGTTGAAGCTGATGACCCTGAATCTTCAGCTGAATTGGCTTTCAATTTTAGCTTTCAGCTTTCAATTTTAGCATCAACACAATATTGGTCTATCTGCGTCAAACTGACTAAAAAGGCTGGACAAATGGGTGCCCTACGTACTCGATGATCGCCGGCGTAAAGTACGCTATCGAATTTTGAAGCACATTATAACCTGTGTTGCAAATACATTGCGTTCAACAATCGGAAGTGCTCAATACAAGTTGGTTGGATCCTATTTTAGCATCTATGCTTTTATACAATGCCCTAAACGAAAATTAACTTACTTTACTAGAAAAGTAACACTCTTTGGTGGTCTAATGTACCGGACAGCAGACAATCTCTAAGTTAAAAAAGCTGGGATTGGAAGTTCTCCATTATCTGCCGTACTCATCAGTCTTGAGTATGAGGTCTTGTAGTTTTTCCAGAATTTCTACGATTGGTGGAAAATAAAATTAGAAAAAAAAGGCTAAAGAATTAATTAGTTTTCCGCCATTCATCTTTCATATAGGCAATGAGATTTAGACACAAACCAAAGAGTAGTATTATAATTAGGGGATACAAACTATTACACAGACTTACTTATTTACAACTTAGTTACAAAAATCATCTGAGTAGTACGTAGACTGAAAAGCTGAAAAGGAAGAGTAGTAGTTGAGTAGTAGTAAGAAGTTTGTTTCGTCTATTGGGACAGGCGAAGGAACTTAGCCATACTAACAAATCTTGCGTAGATTATTTTATGAGTAAAATTCCAATCTTTTACCTTGTCTTCTCTTAATATTTTTGAAAGGCTGATTGCCAAAGCTATGATACTACTTTATTTTAAAGCAGCAAAATCTTGATTTAAAATATGTCTTGTTCAGGGTTATTATTTACATATCCGAAATAGTCAAATCAGATTTTTACAACAGTGATATAGTCATAAATCGATACAAAGTTTTCTGGGTAAGCTAAGATACCATGAAGGGGAGGCGGGATAGTCTTATGTGTTTTATGAGCTTCTAAAACTTCCGAGTCAGCAAAATGGATGCTGGATCCATTCGAATTTCAGGAATTTGAATCTGCGTTAGATAAGAAAAAAAAATCCTTGCCTGGTGCTGATAACATCCCATATTCTGTAATAAAACATTTACCTGATGCTGTAAAAATAATCCTTTTAAATATTTATAATCGGTTATGGTTATCTAACATTATTCCACCTAGCTGAAAATTTTAACTAATAATCCCAATTTTAAAGCCTAACAAGAACTCCAATAATTTACATTCCTTTAGCTAGCTAGCTAGTAAGTAGTGACTTACTAATTTGTAATATTCAGGACATTATGCATTGGATGAAGTTAAGCTCTTTATTTTTCATATAGTTTCCAGTCTATACTACATTCCTTTAACTTTGTCTCGTTTCGACTCTAAACGCTTGAGTCACAAAAAATTATTTTTAAATTCTTTGTGACTCAATGAGCGCACTTCAATCTTTAGAACAAAAAAGTATAAATTCTAATAAAAATTACCTTATTTATGAATTAAGAAACTTAGTTGTATCATTACAAAATATTAATATAAGAATTGAGTTCCGCTGGGTTCCAGGACACTTCGGTATTTTTGGTAACGAGTTTGCAGATAAACTTGCACGTTCTGCGCCAAATATTATTACAATAAACGACTTTAAAGTTCCTCAATCTGATCAAATCACTTATTTGAAAAACAACATGATTAAAAGATGATGTTTATCATTAGACAATTCTCGCGAAACTAAAGGTTAATGGCATGCCGAGATTGTCCCAGTACCCAACACTACAACTTGGTTTGAAAAATCATAATACTAGGGTAGGCAATTTATAACTAGCTTCTGTAGATTAAGAATAGGTCATTGTAAATTTCTATCTCATCTTCACCGCTTTAGACTTAGTAACAATGCCATATGTAAATATTTTAAATTTTAATAATTGCGATCCTAGTCATTTATTTTTTAACTCTTTGAGCCACACTTTCTTATAGATGATGCTATAAATAAAACAATGGTAAATTTGGTTTAATTGGGGTATATTATTACTTAAAAAAAGGAAATAAAAAAAACATGTCAAGGGGTTTTTGAGAAATTAGGTGGTTAGTTTACTAACCACTATGGCTGTAGGCCTATAAATAATCAACGAAAACAACAGTGTGAGTAAAAATTATTACATGTAGAAATACATCATAGTTATTTTTTATGGAACTCCTGGAAACACATTTTATCTTTACGAATACACAAGGGCACTTTACAGGTGCTACACTGCCATACAGTACGCGCTGGATTTATTTTCGTACTGCAGTTTGCGCATCTTCGTGAAGTTGTCCATTCTGGTTGGTGCATAATACTTTCCAGACGTAATTCTGAGGGGACCGTGGGTTTATGGCGTTTTATCATAACGGGTAAAGGTGAAGAGGAGCTACAAGAGCGTCTTGGACCATGTTCACGTTTCCTTGCCTGAGCTGGAGCTAGGATTCCTTGGTAAAGACTTCTGCGATAGTCTTTAGCGTTCAACTGTTCCATTTGCTGATGGTGTTTTTGCTGGAGTTCTTTATACACTAAGAAAGAGTTTACGACAGCACAATCTAAAAAATGAAAAAATATTCTATGCCACCATTTTTTGGACTTTCTGTCAATAGCATATGTACTTTTTATTTGGTCGAATCTATCAACAAAGTTCATAGAACTGTTGTATTTCATCTGTTGAAGACAGCCACGTGCCGAAAAATGTACAGATCGAACGACCAATCACAGCGCCTACATTAGCGGAATTATCGGGGAGCCCATTGGCTGCGTAGGCGCCGTCCGCACGGTGGGGGCGATTCCCCCACCCGGCGCGCGGGCGTAAAACGCGCTGTGATTGGTCGGCCGCCGCGCGTCACTAGTATCTAAGTTAGATGTTAAGTTTAGAATAAGGGTAGGGCCAAATTTGTAAATATTTGTAGTCAAGTCAAGTCAGTCAAGCAGTATAGTCAAGCAGTAATAAGTAGCCAGTAAGAAGAAAAATAAAACGTCTATAGAAGAAATTCGTCTTTGTTTTGCACCATCCTCTACAGTCTGATCCATCGGGTTAAACAGCAACGTCTACAGTTTGGTCCATAGAGCCGGATCAGCACCCTCAATAGTTTGGTCCTTCGAGAAGCCGGATCTAAACACGTATAGAACCTCCGAGATGCAGCCAACAGTGAATCAAGATGGTGCTTACAAGAAGCCAAGACGAAGAAAACCAACGTCGTGTCTTCGACCAGCCGCCGAGATCGCCCTCAAGTACACCGACCGTACGAGGACGCCTCGAGACGGGTAACGCCGGGGAGAGCCTACGCACCGCACCGCAAGTCTCGCAACTAGCGCCTAACGCGAACCGCGCTGGGGCAGACGTTGCCGGAGCACGCGTCGCCTTGGCAGTGACTACGCAGCCGCCGAGCGGAGCGGACGAACGCGCAGCACACCCAACGGACACAGCGGCGACTACTGGAATAACGACATCTGCGATGACGTCATCGGTGCAACCGGCGAGGAGAGTGCACGTCGCGCGTTCGACCCGCTCGGCAGCGAGCAACGCGGCACGCCGGAAGCTACGCATCGAAGCAGAAGAACGACTGGCTGCCATAAGACGCCGAGAACTCGAAATTGAAGCGGACCTCATAAAAAAGACGCTCAATATCGAGTTAGAAACGCTAGACGGAGCAGAGAGCGAACCCGAAGCTGAAGAACCGGCAAATAAATTGCAAGATCGAGTGTTCGAGTGGCTCGACGACGCGAACGTCGACCAACAACGGGGGGAGCTCTCAAGGACCGCCGTGGCTGAACCGCCACCTGAACGCGACACGCGACGCCCAGATAGGGAAGAACGAAGACGGTCGTCATCGCGAGGCAGAGGCATCGATCAACTCGCCTCTGTCCTCGAAACCCTCGTGAAGTCACGACCGCCGCCGCGTCAAGCATCGGATCTACCGATATTCTCTGGTTCACCGCTGGAATGGCTACAGTTCGCGACTGCGATGCGAGAAACAACGCGGCTGTACGAATTCACACCTACAGAGAATATGGCAAGACTAAGAAACTGCCTACGTGGAGAAGCTCGGGAAAACGTCGCATCATTGTTGAGCACCGCGACGCACCCCGACGAGATCATGCGAACATTGGAGCAATGCTACGGAAGGCCAGAAAGACTAGTGGACATGGCTTTCGCCGATCTACGGAAGCTGCCGAAGATTGGACCTACCGCGAACGATCTTAACATGTTTGCGGTAAAGCTACAGAACATCGTGGCCGTCCTGAGGAACGTGCAGCCAGAGTACCTGCTTAACCCACTGCTGACCCGGGAAGTCTTAGACAAGATGCCAAGTTACCTTGTATCGAGTTGGTGCAACTTCGCCGAGTCACAGCCGGGCCCGAACGCCGATCTACTCAAACTTTCATCGTTCCTGATGAAGGAAGCTGACCGCTGCATGCGATACAACTATGTATCGAACCTCACCGCACCCTCCACATCGCAACGAACACGAGAAACGCCTCGCCCCGCCCCCAGACCGGAGGCTAAGAAGAAGACGGTGTACGTCGCCACCGAAGAAGCACCGCAGCGCAGATGCCTTTCATGCCAGGAAGCCCACACACTACCTAGCTGCCCAAAGTTCAAGCAGCTAACGTATGATGACCGATGGGAGCTGGTGAAGAAGGAGGGCCTTTGCTTCAAATGCATCGTGGGCCGACACCGTCGATTGAACTGCCGACAGAAGCTCTGCGGAATCAACGGATGCAAGCGACCGCATCACCGACTGTTGCACGCAGATGAGCGTGGAACGACGAACGACGTGGCTACGAGCGCGACCGACTCAAACACGGATGCGATGGAACCAGCCACCACCGAAACGACGACGGCTGCCACGACGACAAGCCGCGCCGTCAAATTGAAGATTTGCCCCGTGACAATCACGGGCAAACGTGGGAGCTGCGACACCTACGCGCTCTTCGACGAAGGCTCGACGGTCACCTTATTAGACGACGACCTGGCGCGACAGATCGGCGCCGACGGACCGACCGCACAGCTCAACGTCCGAGGAATAAACAAGAAGCAAAGTCACGTGCAGAGCCGTCGAGTGAAGATTGGAATAAAAGGAACGCGCAGTGACCAGATCTTCAAAATCAACGCTCGCACCATGGTGGGCCTGGACCTCACGCCGCAATCGATACCGGCGGAGGCGATGAAGCTACGACACCTAAGAGATCTCGACGAGCGAGAAGTCGTATACAAGAATGCGAAGCCTCGCATTTTGATCGGGACGGACAACTGGGAGCTCATAGTGACCCGCGAGCTACGGTCAGGAAAAACCAAGGAACCAGCTGCCTCCAAAACCGAACTCGGATGGGTAATCCACGGGACGGCGCCATCGAGATCGCTTCGCCGCACCGAGGATATCCTACATGTCGTCACGACCGAAGCATCAGACGACCGACTCGAAGAACTCGTGTCGAGACACTTCCGGATCGACTCACTCGGAGTGTCGCTCGACGCATCACACGTCCGCGAAGAGGACAAGCGTGCCGTCTCCACGTTCGAACGCACCGTGAAGCACAAGGACGGCAGATACGAAGTGGGCCTGCCGTGGCGAAACGACGACGCCAAACTGCCACGGAGTTACGACTCAGCACTCCGCCGGCTCACCAATCTAGAGAACAAGCTGAAGAAAGATCCACGCGACATGGAAGAATACCAGCGGAGGATCGACAACCTCGTGAAAAAGGGATACGCCGAACCCTGCGACGGCTCCGAGGACGCAAGCCCCATCGCATGGTACCTGCCGCATTTCGCCGTCAAGAATCCCAATAAGCCCGGGAAGTTGCGACTGGTTTTCGACGCAGCAGCAAGAATTCGAGGTGTCAGCCTGAACGATCACCTACTCGAAGGGCCGGATCTGCTACGATCGCTGCAGACCATTTTATTCCGGTTCCGAGAGGGCGCATACGCGGTGACAGCTGACATCGAGGAAATGTTCCTGCGAATCAAGATACGCCGCGAGGACCAACCCGCACAGATGTTCCTGTGGCGCGACTGCAGGCAGAATGAACCACCGCGCAAGCTGAAGATGACGTCGATGATCTTCGGCGCATCGAGCTCACCGTTCCTCGCACACAGCGTGAGGGACCACAACGCGAGACAGCATGCTGAGACGCACCCTGCAGCACTGCGCGCAATCACCGAAGCGCACTACATGGATGACTTCGTCGACAGCTTCAATGATCCGAGAGAGGCCCACGAAGTCATCACCCAAGTCGACGCAGTGCACCAGAAGGCTGGATTCCACCTGAGGGGATGGAACAGTAACAATAGGAAGCTACTACAAGCCGTGAACCCGGATAGTAGAGCCAAAAGCGGGACGACGACGTTTGGAGACACAGAGAAGACATTGGGCCTGCTTTGGGATGCAAATACCGATCGGCTGGGCTTCAACACCGCCCTGCCTAGAGTCCCACTGCCAGTGAAGTCTCGACAACGCCCGCCGACGAAAAGAGAAGCATTATCGACGGTGATGAGCATATACGATCCGCTCGGACTGCTCAGCTGCTTCACAATCACAGCGAAGATAACTCTTCAAAAACTATGGCGCCTCAAGACCGGCTGGGACGACCCTCTACCATCCGACTTGAGCGAGGACTTCGATGCATGGTTGACAAGCCTGCCAGCAATCGACCAACTACGGCTACCCCGTAGTTACAACGGGGGGAGAGAAGTGCGTCGCCGTGAACTTCATGTATTCTGCGACGCCAGCGAAGAAGCCTACGCAACGGCGGCGTATTGGAGATTGCATTACGGACCCGGCCATGTCATCGAGACAGTCCTGATAGCGGCTAGAGCTAAGGTCGCGCCCTTGAAGACCCAAACCGTACCGCGCCTGGAGCTTCAAGCGGCCCTCATCGGAACGCGACTAGCGAAAGCAATCAAAGAAGAACACCGTGTCAACGTCGACGACACCGTGTACTGGAGCGACTCTCAGACGGTGCTTCATTGGCTGCGGAATGGAAGCAAGCGCTACACTCCATTCGTCGCACACCGTCTGGGAGAAATAACTGAGTCATCCAGACCGCAAGACTGGCGATGGATACCGACGCATCTGAACGTAGCCGACGTCGCCACACGCGCCGGTTATACGCCAGCCAACGAAAACGACCTGTGGTTCACGGGACCATCCTTCTTGAAATTACCAAGATCGGAATGGCCGAAGCCACCAACGGATCGAGAAGATGACGAAACGACGGAAATAACACACGTCATCGCGCACACAACAGAGAGAAACGCGGCGTTACCGGAGATAGAACGATTCTCGACGTTCGAGCGACTGATCGGCGCAACAGCGCAAGCGCTACTCTTCGTGGAAAGATGTCGCGACAGAACGAAGACACTCAGCCGCGAACATTTCAACCGAGCGACAAATTTATGGCTGCAGCAGGCGCAACAAGACTCCTTCAGCCAAGAAATCGAGTGCCTGAAGAAAGGAGTCCCCGTAGCACGAACGAGCCCTCTA